GTAGCCCAGGCTGGCCTCGAACTCACAGAGATCCGCCTGGCTCTGCCTCCCGAGTGCTGGGATTAAAGGCGTGCGCCACCACCGCCCGGCGTAGCACAAATCTTAAAAGTTCTTATTAATAAAATTAAACCTGAGGCCAGTTATTAGGGTGAAATGCTGGAAGGTCAGAGAGATAGAACAGGCCACAGCTTCCTTACCTCCACAGTTTCTCAGCTGATTCTGTCAGACTGGAAGCTTCTGTGTCCTCATCCCAATGGCTCTCAGCACAACTGCTGCTCGAAAGCCTGAAAGCTTAACCAGCCAAATGCTTCTAGTTTCTGGTCTTCACACCTTATATATCTTTCTGTTTTTCCCATCACTCCCTGGGATTAAAGGCTCACTTCTTGGGATTAAAGGGGTGTGTCACCATGCCTGGCTGTTTCCAATGTGCCCTTGAACTCACAGAGATCCAGAGGGATTTCTACCTCTGGAATGCTAGGATTAAAGGTGTGAGTGCCACCATTTTCTAGCCTAAGTATCTAGTCACTTTTCTGTTCTCTGACCCCAGATAAGTCTATTAGGGTACACAACATTTTGGGGAACACAATATCACCACAAGACTTAGTAGCTTTAATTAATGAATGTGATGATTAATGAGTTAATTAAGTGACTGCAAGCTTATAGAAGACTGGTTGTTTGATGTTGCTAAGTTGACAAAGCTACAGGGAGCCCAGTCATCAATGCCATCAGAGATCTGAGAAGGATACATTTTATCTGAGAGCAGACTTCCAAATCTATTTAAAAATGACAGCAGCTACCCATTATCTGGGCCACCATCAATCCCATCCTCCTGTAGTCTTCATGGCAGGTGTCAGGACCAAATTAGTCCTGGCTGATAACATGAAAACTTTCCCTGTGGAGGAAGAATTTGGGGAAGACTGATCTGACTTTGTCAGTGTCTCATTTGAACATTCTGGGCCAGATCCCTGGCAGCAGGTGTTGAGTCAGGGCATCTTGCCCAATGGTTGATGTTGTCAACAATTCACGTGGTGTCCTCATGTCATTGTTCCATATCTTCTTTGGAGACCTTGGGAGTCATTGCTAGGATATAGCAGTCTCTGTTTGTTATAGTAAGCTTTTTATCAAATAATGTAAATGCCATATTCATCAGATCTTTGACAGGTTTGAGGACCATTGTCTATTAAATATATCCGAGCTAAACAAATCTAGGCCTAATCTTGAAAACATCTCTAATTTTGGTAACAATAACCATGCTAATTTGTTATCCTGTAGATATATTAGTCAAATGGACCTCTCAGGTTCTGTTTTTTTCTTTTTTCTTTCTTTTTTTTTTTAAAGCTCAGCAGACCAAGCCTTGCCTTTTTTTAAAAAAAAGATTTATTTATTATATATACAGCATTTATGACTGCAGGCCAGAAGAAGGCGCCAGATCTCATTACAGATGGTTGTGAGCCACCATGTGGTTGCTGGGAATTGAACTCAGGACCTCTGGAAGAATAGACAGTGCCTTAACCGCTTAGCCATCTCTCCAGCCCTCTGTTTTTTCCTTACAAGCATATTTTATAAACATTTATATATATATATATGAGCAGTTAGACTGCAGCTTTTATTTACAGACCATAGATGTGATGTTGACAATTTTAAGAAACAGGTTTGGATTTCTTTATGGATCTCTGAATAGCTAAGAGCTTTAGCCTTGTCATTTCATAGGAGGCCAAACATATAGAATCCTAAGCTGGATAACTGTAATATGATGATAATTATTAACTTGTATTTTGTACCTCAGTCCTCCTCTTTCCTTTAAAGTGCATGATTTCATTTTTAATATAAATATTTTGCAGTGAAGAATCATCAGTTTTTTTCTAAATGAAGAAAACCAACCAGAATTAACCTAATATGGCTAAATCCCCAATATATCTTACAGTTTCCTTTCAAATTCAGCAAAGTTCACATCCCCTCTGACCTTCTACAGCTTCCTACATATCCTCTGGCCAGGCTTTTCCTATCTCCACTCCTCTGGTTCAGCCAGACATTTTTTACTCTAGGGAAACTCCTCTTTCCCTTCTCCTCTCTTCATTAGTCCAGTCTCCTGCCTTCTCTCTTGCTTTCCAGACAACATGCAAATTTCCATCAGTGTCTTTTTACTTGTGGTTTCTTCCCAGTAGTTTAGAACATTGCATCGCTATAACATTTCAAACAAGAATGAAAACATAAATATATATCTATATGCATATATGATAACAAAAATCTTACATTTGCATTAATGTATAAAAACCCTTATCAATGTAAAACATTTGAGATTAGCAGCAGTTTTTCTTAATATCAACCAATAATAATTTGTAATAAATTCTCTTAAATGATGACAAGTGTTTGTAGCCCTTTGAGTTTAAATGACCAAAATCCATGTAAATGTTTCTTTTCCTGCAGAAACAAAATTTTCCTCAAAACATAATGTAATCAGAGGTCATAAAATAGTCATATACAATGAATTCCATGGCAGTAATGTAAACATCCAATGGAAATATGCTATTGTAACATGCTCAGAATATAGAAAACAAGTTTACTATAAATTTCAAGGAGAAATATCATTAAGCCTAACACAAAGGTTATGCTGTAAACCTTAAATTCATATGTAAAATAACAATGCAATTCTGCTAAGTGGTTTAACCAAAAACTTCAAAAAGAATAATAAAGCATACTTCATATTTATTAGTAGTAATGAGAAAGAATAGATACCAAAAGCAGGTGTTTTTATTTTTATTTTTTTTCACAGAATGAAGTTTATTTTTGAAGTTGCAGAGCAGGAGGCCCTAATAGTGGAGGAGACATAGCAGCAGGCAGCATGAGCAGGAAGCTGAGAGATCACATCTTCATCTGAAAACACAACGCAGAGAAAGCAAACTGTGAGTGCAGTGGGGCATTGATCTCCCACATCCTGATCCCAGTGAAATACTTCCTCCTGCAAGATTCTGTCTCCTAAATGTTTCATCACCTCCTCCAAAGCTTCAGTAGCTGGAGACCAAATGTTCAAATACCTGAACCCATCAGGGGCATTTGTCTTTAAACCTCCGCCCCCTGGCAGAGCTGGAGCCTGAGCTGCACCCTGCTGGGTGCATGTCTCTCAGTGTCATTTCTGTTTTCCTGTTCTTAGCGTTCTTGTCAGAGCTTTCTTGATTCTTGGAGTCCTTTCCTCTCTTTCTTTCTCTGTTAAAGTTCTTTTTCTTTTTTATTGGCAATGTTTTCTAAATGTTTACACTTTTTCTTTCTTTTTATTTTTTTCTTCTACTGAAAATAGATTTTTTCCTCCTATGATAGATCCTGATTCTAGTTTCCTCTCTCTCTACACTTCACAGTCCTCTCCACTAGATCCACTCCTTTTTCCGTCTCATCAGGAAAAAAGAGGCTTCTAAGAGAAAACAACCAAATACAACAAAATAAAATATAAGTTGAAGCAGAAACTATCTTACCAAAGTTAGACATGGCAACCCAACGAGAGGGCCAGCAGAATCAGAGAGCCTTTTGTTCTCACACTTAGGAGTCCCATAAGGATATTGTCGGGTCCAAGGGCATGCAAAAATGAGGTACAGACCACCAAAGTCTTTGAAACCATAGGCAAACTTCATGCCAGAAAATAATCACGACAGGGCATAAAAATCATATCAGCAGGCTGGGCGGTGGTGGCGCATGCTTTTAATCCCAGCACTCTGGAGGCAGAGCCTGGTCTACAGAGCGAGATCCAGGACAGGCACCAAAACTACACAGAAAAACCCTGTCTCGGGAAAAAAAAAAGCAGCAACAACAACAAAAAAAAATCATATCAGCTAGATGAGACCACAGTCAGAGCTCAAGATTCTGAAACTGTGCCAATAGAAGTGGATTCTTCCCCCTTTTTACACTAAGGCATGGACAGATGAATTTTTACAATTTTGAGGTAAAGCTTAGAGATATATTGCATTTCACAATTTTTGCTTACAAAGTTTTGGCTCAATGGTGTTTACAAAAGCCCTGAAGCTTTATTGACACAACTAAGGGTGCTTACAAAAACTCTCAGCTTTCTTGACATAGCCACTTTCTTATAGCAGAGAAAGATATGAAACAATGTGAAGCCAAAAGTGGGTGTAGAAACAACCTATCAAAAGTTAACCATGGTCCCAGGCAGTTGTTGGTTATAGAGGGCAAGGGAAGTGTTGTTAAAAGGTAACCCCTGGCTGGTGAAAGAGGAGCTGCCTATAAAGCAGAGAGCCATGGTTAGAAGTTAACCTTTAGTTGGTGACAGAGATGATTACTGTCAGTTTTTATTATTTGGGTTTACAATTTTATATTTCTATATTCTTGGACCCTCAATACTAAGCTAATAGCTTTGTATATAAGCAGAGGACCTGGTGGAAACCCATGTGGGCCCTGTGCTTGCTGCTTCAGTCTCTGTGAGCTCATATATGCCTTAATTAGCAGTCAAATGGCCTTGATCTCCTGGTGTCCTTTTTCCCCTCTGGCTCCTCTTCTGTGGGATTCACTGTGCTCTTAGGGAAAAGCTTTCATGGAGACCGTCCTTGTAAAGTCTCTGTCCACATAATATCCAGGAGTAGTTCTCTGTATCTATTCCCATCTGCTAAATGAAGAAGCTTCTCCAACGATGACTAGGAAAGGCACTGATCTATGAGTATAGCAGAATGTCATTAAGAGTCATTTTATTGATATTTATTATTATTTTATTTTAGGCTGCTAGTGTTTTATTTTATAATAGGTCCCTGGGCTATCTAGTCTCTGGTTCTTGGTTATTAAAGCAGATTTGGTTATGGCTTTCTTCTTGTGGAGTAGACTATAGGCCTGCTGTAATTGCCTGTATTATGTTTAGGTTTATCCATTGTGTCCCTAATCTTTCCAGGACTTTTATCATGAAGGGTTGCTGGGTTTTGTCAAAGGTCTTCTCAGCATCTACTGAGATCATTGAGTGTTTCTTTTTCAGTTTGGTGCATTATATTTATTTATTTTTGTATATTGAACCATCCTTGCATCTCTGAGATGAAGCCTACTTGATTGTGGCAGATGATATTTTTGATATTTCCTTGGATTTGGTTTGCAAATATATTATTGAATTTTTTGAATCTATGTTCATTAGAGAAATAGGTCTGTAATTCTCTTTCTTTCTTGAGTCTTTGTGTGGTTTTGGTATCAAGGTAGCTTTGCCCTTGTAAAATGAATTGGGTAGGGTTCCTTTTGTTGCTATTCTGTGGAATAATTTGAGGAGCATTGATGTCATCTCTTCTTTAAAAGTCTGATAGATTTCTGCACTGAAACCATCTGGCCCTGAACTCTTTTTGGTTGTAACAGTTTTAGTAACTGCTTCAATTTCACTAGGACTTATAGGCATACTTATTATTTATCTTATCTTGATTTAATTTTGGTAAGTGGCACTTATTGAGAAAATTATGCATTTCTTTTAGATTTTTCTCTTTGGGGGAATACAGTTTTAAAAAGTATGTTCTTACGATTCTCTGGATTTCCAAATTGTCTGTTGCTATGTCTCCCTTTTCATTTCTGATTTTGTTAATTGGAATATTATTTCTCTGCCTTTTGGTTAGGTTAGATAAAGATTTGTTTATCTTGTTAATTCTCTCAAAGAACCAACTATTTGTTTCACTGATTCTTTTGTATTATTCTCTTTGTTGCTATTGCATTGATTTCATCCCTCAGTTTGATTATTTCTTCCCATCTTCTCTAGGATTTGATTATTTCTTGTTGTTCTAGAGATTCCAGGCATGCTGTTAAGTTGCTAATATGCTATCTCTCCACTTTTTAAATGTAGGCACATAATGCTATGAACTTTCCTTTAGCACCAGTTTCATTGTGTTCCATGAGTTCCATGAGAATGCTATGTGTTCATTTTCATTGAATTCTAGAATGTCTTTAATATCGTTTTTTTAACTTCTGTCTTGACCTATTTTTCATTTGGTATAATATATATATATATATATATATATATATATATATATATATATATATTTGGTATATTTCAGTTTCCACAAGTTTGTAAACTTTCTGTTGTTTTCAGTTGTTCAGTTGTTGTTGGTATCCAACTTTAAACTCTGATGGTCTGTTACAGTGCAGGGGGTTATTTCAGTATTCTTGGATATGTTGGGACTTTCTGCGTGTCTGAGTATGTGGTCAATTTTGGAGAAAATTCTGAGTTGCTGAGAAGAATTTTTTTTTTTGTGTGTGTGTGTGTGCATGCACGTGCACACATGTGCATGCATGTGTGAATGGAATATTCTGTTCATATTTGTTAAGTTCATTTGGTTTATAATGTCAGCTAGAGCCAAATTACTCTGTTTAGTTATTGTCTTAATGATCTGTCCATTGGTGAGAGTGTGGTATTGACATTTCCAACTATCATTGTGTAAAGACCAATTTGTGATTTAAGCTGCAGTGTTTCTTTTACAAAAGTAGGTGCACTTGTGTTTCAGGACATAAATGTTAAGAACTGAAATGTCATCTTGATGGATTTTTCTTTTGATGAGGATTTAGTGTCCTTCCCTATCTCTTCTGGTTATTTCTGCTTTGAAGCCTATTTTGTTAAGTATTAATTAGAATGGCTAAATCAGCTTGCTTCTTAGTGCCAGTTTTTTTCAGAATATCTTTTCATAATCTTTTACCCTGAGGTAATGTCTACCTTGAATATTGAAATGTGTTTCTTGTATATTTGTTTTCTACTTTTTGCATCCAATCTGTTTGCCTTTGTCTGTTTTTTGATTGGGGAATTAAGACCATTGATATTGAGAAAAAATGAGATATTGTTGGTGGTGATGGTGTGTGTATGCACAGGTGTTTCCTTCTTTTGTTTTTTTTTTAATAATTTTTAATGTATTGAAATAATAGTTCAGGAAGTAAGGGTGATAGTTGGACAATCAGTAAAAAACCACAAATAACTTAATTAGTTAAAGAAATTAAATATCTGCCTGATAAAACATCAGAGTCCATCCTCTTTCTTTTCTCTTTCCACAATTCCTATTCAGAGGGCCTGATCCAGCTGGGGGCCCCTCAACTTTTGGTTCATAGTTCATGTGTTTCCATTTGTTTGGCTATTTTTTTCAATAATTGAGTAAAACTGAAATTTATTGTAAGCCACAGTCGTCCTAGGGACCTCCATGCTATATATATAGCCTCTATGGTTCTATGGGTTGTGGTCCTTCTTTTGGTTTTGCTTGTGTGAGTTTATTTATTTACTCTGTTTTACTGGTGGTAATTTACCTCCTTAGATTGGAGTTTTCCTTCTAGTACATTCTAGATTTGTAGATGTTAGGCTGCATTTGTAGACAGATATTGTTTAAATTTCACTTTATCATGAAATACCTTATTTTCTCCATTTACAGTTATTGAAAGTTATGCAAGGTATAATAGTCTGGCTGGCCTCTGTGGTTACACCATATCAATTCAGGCCCTGAAGTCAGATGTAATTCTAACAGGTCTGCCTCTCTATGCTACTTGGTCTTTTTCACTTGAAGCCTTTAATATACTTTCTTTGTTCTGTATCTTTAGTGTTTGATTATTATGTGGCAAGTGGGCTTTCTTTTCTTGTCCAGTCTATTTGATGTTCTGTATGCTTCTTGTACCTTGATAGGCATTTCTAACTCTAGGTTAGGAAAATTTTCTTCCATGATTTTGTTGAAAATATTTTCTGGGCATTTGAGCTGGGATTCTTCTCCTTGTTCTACTCCTACTATACTTAGATTGGTCTTTTCTTATTGTCCCAGATTTCCTGGATGTTTGGTGTCAGGATTTTTTTTAGATTTAACATTTTCTTTGACTGATTTATCCATTTCTCCTATTGTATTCTCAACTTCTAAGATTATCTCTTCCATATTTTATATTCTTTTGGCAAATCTTTTCACTGAAGTTTCTGTTTAAGTTCCTGGAATTTTTCATTTCCAGAATCTGCTTAGTTTGTGTTTTATTTATTGATTCTATTTCCATTTTTTTTTGTCTTGAACAGTTTTATTTGTTTCCTTCAACTGTTGATTTGTGTTTTCTTGGATTTGGGTAAGTGATTTATTAATTTCCTCTTTGAGGACCTCTATCATCTTCATAAGGTTATTTTTAAGGTCTTTGTTTCTTGTGCTTCAGCTATGTTATAATTTTAAATGTCTGTTGTGGTAGAACAGCTGGGCTCTTGTGGAGAAATATTGCTCTGCCTGCTATTTGTTGTGTTTTTATTCTGGTTTCTAGGCATCTGGGTTTGTCATGATCATAGTTATAGGTGCTGATTTTTGGATTTCCCTTTGTTGGGTGTGTATTTTGTTTCTTAGTTTCTCTTTCCTCTCTGGATATTAGGAGAGCGTGATGGTTATGTGTTGCCTATTTTCTTGACCTGCTCAGCTGGTGTATTCACAGGGAATACCTAGTAGTGTTGGAACCTGGGATACTGGGATGAGTTGGGGAAGTAAGTTTGGAGGAGGTCTTTGTAGTCCCTTGAGAATGGGGTCAGAGATGAAATGGAGACCACATTCAGTTTACTGCTAAGAGCTGTGAATGAGTTTGGTAGTTCAAAGGAAATTGGCCCTCATAAACTTGTAGAGAGTGGGAGATGTAGCCTTGTTGAAGTATGTATGGCCTTGTTGGAGGTCCTGAATATTTGAAAACAATATTAGGTTTGCTCAAGGTTTATCTAAACATTACATATTACAGTAGTTAAATGTACCAGGCTGTTGTAAATATTTTTTTTCTGGTTTTTCAACAACCATGCATAGAGGTAATATTAATGTGGTCAGAGTCATGAAGAGGAAGAGTATTTTCTCCTTTTCCTTTAATTTTAAATTTAGCAAGGTTGCAGAAGACTGAGGGGCATCTCCTGAAATGTTCTGTAACTATAGGGATTCACCTATTTTCTTTTTCAGAGAGGTCATGGAACCCCATGTGTTAAACTCTAACCAAGGTACACCCTACAAAGAGAATGGTCAAAAACAAGAAAAAAAATCCTCAGTGCTTCTAAGCAGATTTAAGCAAAGCCTTTAACTTTCCTACTATCAGTGGAACAACTGACAAAAGGAAGATCACAGGAGCCTGAGATGCTTTCTATGTCCAAGGGCTTAAAGATCATATCTTTGACTGACCTTGGCCATAAGGAAGTGATTATTTTTTACTGTCTGCAGAAAATCAATGGAACTGTATCACAAGATATAAATACAAAGTGTACAAACAAAAATGTATAGCTAAAATGATTGGTATGTTTTTTTGTAGGGTCTAAGGGATTCCAATTCTAAGACACTAGACATGTCTATATAACATGTTGCTTAGACAACTTTATCTCACTAATCATTGCCTTACCTTTTCTTTTCTTTTTATGTTTATTGAAGCAGGATTCTTCTCACATACAATAAATTCCACCACTGTTCCCTTCTGTCCACTCTTACCTGCTTCCCTACCCACCTCCTTGAACAGATCCACTCTCCTTATGTTTTCTTTGTAGAAAAGAACAGGCCTTCAAGAGATGACAGCCAAACAGGACAAAACAATATACAATAAAACAAGACAAAGCCCTTACATCAAAGATGATCAAGGCAACTCAATAGGAGGAAAGGAGTTCCATGACAGGCAAAAGTGTCAACGATACTGGATAAGAAAAAGTGCTGCCCAGATATAAATGTTCAGATCCAGGTTCACTTCAACACTGCAATGTCTACCTACAACCAAGAGAAACAGGTCATTGTAGAATTCAATTAAAATCCACATGATTAAAATTTGTCTTTCTCTCTTTAGAAGCACTCTGAGAAAGACCTCACACTATGTTCTAAGCACTTCAATAGCCATCAAAGTGTCTGAAAAGAGATTATGTGTTCATTTCTGTAAAGTTGAGGTTTGGGGTACAAAAGAAAAATGAAGAGGACCCAGTAAATGGATGCTCTTTGAGCTCATCAAGAGATTATAGTGGACATATCCACTGTTCTGGCCTCTTCTGATTCATTGTTGTGAAGCTATCATTATAGATTTGGCTAAATTACATTAAAAATTTAAGTACCAGACACAGAGGGTCACAGAAGTTGAAATCAGGACATTTACTGATAAAGAGTTGGACCCTGTAACTTGAAGAGGGGATGTATAGACCACATTGAAGATGAGAATTCTGAAACCTCAGATTCTCCAATGTTTTTGTTTTCTGGAGAAGTAGTCTTTCCAACCTCAGTAGAAGATATAGTCACATGGTACCAATAAAATTACTTTTTTCACATTTGACTGATGAAACAAATCTTTCATTGTTTGATAAATGAACAGTGACTTTTTTTTTTTTTTTTTGGTTTTTCGAGACAGGGTTTCTCTGTGTAGCTTTGTGCCTTTCCTGGAACTCACTTGGTAGCCCAGGCTAGCCTCAAACTTACAGAGATCCACCTGGCTTTGCCTCCTGAGTGCTAGGATTAAAGGTGTGTACCACTACCGCCTGGTGAACAGTGACTTCTTAAGCCAGTGCAATAATCAATAATCAATAAGAAAATATTGATTACCCCAAGGCCCACCAGTAGTTGCTTCTAGATAGATACATAATGGACTTAAGGCAAATTAGTCTCTTAGAGGGGAAGTAGAATGTGTAATCCATGAGGATGTTTGCTACACTGCTAAAGAGCTTAATGAGTTTGCTAATTCATTTGATTAGAAGTCTGGGGAATAGCTGGGTGGTGATGGCTCACACCTTTAATCCCAGCACTCGGGTGCCAGAGGCAAGTGGATCTCTGTGAGTCTGAGGCCAGCCTGGTCTACAGAGCGAGACCCAGGACAGGCACCAGAACTACACAGAGAAACTCTGTCTCATAAAACAAACAAACAAACAAAAAGAAGTTTGTGGAATATGTGTAGGACTGTATTTTGAGAGTGTGTGATAATATGGTGGTTCACAACATTCTCTAATGAGATCTGGTGCCCTCTTCTGGCCTACAGTTGTAAATGTAGGCAGAACACTATGCATACTAAATAAATAAATATAAATAGATAGATATTTAAATAGATAAATAAATAAACAAGAATGTGGGATAACATGGTGGCTCACAACCATCTGCCCTCTTGAAGCCTGCATTCATTCATGCAGGTAGAACACTTCACACATAATAAATAAATAAATAAATAAATAAATAAATAAATAATAAACAAATAAATAAAAAGAGTATGTTATAATGGTGGAAGGAACATAAAACTGGCATAGAATGAATTTATTGATTTGGGCTTTCTGAGTGGAGACTCTAGGTTTAATATGGAAGCTTGTACAGTTAAAAATGTGTCAAAAGTTTGGCTGAAAAGTTGGCTGAAACATTTGTCAAAAGATGGACTGCTGAAAAGGTGTTGGAGATATCTGATATCCCTTGGCTTAGTGTTGATGAAGGGCTTTTAAGGCTCAGGGAAATTGTAATAGTAGAGTGCTGTGTAAAACCTGTTCTTCCACAATGGGCAAGCACAGAAGACATAGCCTTCACAAATCACATAAGATGCAAAATGGTGAGAGGGGCACCAGTACATTTTAAAGGTTTTCTTATTGCCCCTATTCTTGTGCCAGACCTTAGGGAGGGACATGCTGCTGCTCAATTGGGTGAATTAGATGCATTAGGCTTAACTGGGCCCCGAGATAGGAGGGGGCAAGTGGCAGCACTTAATTGTCAAAGGTAAAGTAACTATAGTTATTGTAATGGGCAGCACCGACAAAGTAGTGTCCACAATGGCCTAACATATAAAGATCAGCACAGGCAAACTTAACTTTATGGTGGCATCACTCATACTGAATTTTTTATACTGGCTATTCAGTCATTATGTTTCCAGTCACCAAATAGATAAGAAGCATGCAGAATTTTTCTTCAATTTGTATAAGTAGAAAAATTCTGAAACATCCTCATTTGTGTATGTTACTCCATCCCATTTATCAAGTGACACAGAAAGCTGCTTGCTTTGTGGGTTCTGGAACAGGAAAAGTCTTTATAATAGGTCCAGACTGCAATGCATGTTGCTCTACCATGTGTACCATATGATACAGAATAAGGAATGATACTTGAAGTATCATTGGCAGATAAGATATGCTGTTTGGAGCCTTTGGCAGTCCCCTAGAGATGAATCACAGAAGAGACATTTGGGATTTTGGAGTGAGGCTTTACCACAATCTACAATTATTCTTCCTTTGAAAAAGAGCTCCAGGCCTGCTACTGGGCCTTAGTGAAAACTGAATGTTTGACATTGGGCCACCAATTTACCATACCTAAACATTCTATCATTAGTTGGATGTTATCTGACCTACCAGTTCATAGATTAGGATATGCACATTAGCAATCCAATATCAAATGCTAGTGGTATATATGTGATCATGCTCAACAAGGTCCAGAAGAAAAGTAACATATAGAAGTTGCCCAATTGCCTATGGTTTCTACTCCTGTTTCAAGGTCATCTCCTGGCAAAAATGCACCTATAATCTCCTGGGATGTTGCTTATATTCATTTGACTGAGGAAGAGAAGATAATGGTTTGGCTTATGAATTGTTCTGCATCTTATGCAGGCACCATCCAGCAATGAACAGCTGCAGAATTACAACTCCTTCCTGGGAGAGACCTGAAACATATCTACAAAGGGAAATCTCCTGAGTGGACAAAACTTCAGGAAGTACACATGGTTGTAGCTAGAGTTTTCCTGCCTTGCCCACAGTCAGGACAAATCTCTGTCACCCGCCAGTCCCACAGCCGCTCAGACCCAACCAAGCAAACACAGAGACTTATATTGCTTACAAACTGTATGGCTGTGGCAGGCCTCCTGTTAACTGTTCCTATATCTTAAAGTAACACATTTCTACAAATCTATACCTTGCCACGCGGCTCATGGCTTACCAGCATCTTCACATGCTGCTTGTCCTGGCAGTGGCTGGCAGTGTCTCCTTCTGCCTTCCTGTTCTTTTATTTCTCCTCTCTGTTAGTCCCGCCTATACTTCCTGCCTAGCCACGACCAATCAGGTTTTATTTATCGACCAATCAGAGCAACTTGACATACAGACCATCCCCCAGTACAGCCAAGTGCAGACCATCTCAGACACCTGCACTCAGGCCCATGGTCCTAATCATCCTCTATGCAAACCTGCTGGGTAACGCCACAAGGAACCCAAGAAGGGCTCCCACAGGACATACATTAACATCCCACAGCACATGGTTATACATTTTCCTTGGAAGGAGAAATGGCCATGTGTTCAATTCTTCACTGATTCATGAATTTGATTGATTGGATGGTCATGGAATTAGAAAGAACATGATTGGATAATTGGTGAGAAAGCCTGCTGGAGAAGAAGTACATAGATAGATTTTTTAAATTTGGTAAAGGATTGGAAGATATCTGTGTCTCATTTATATGCACATCAAAAGAAGCCTTCAGCTGAAGTGGAGTTCAATAATCTAGTATATTGGATGACCTATTTTGTGGACAGTCAGCTTCTTTCCCCAGCAGTCCTTGTCATTGCCTAATTGACTCATGCACAAAGTAGCCATGGTGGCAGAGATGGAGATTATGCATGGGCTCCACAATACAGATTTTCACTCACCAATGATTGTAGCATGAATCTTAAAATGGTCTTATTAATACAAACAAACCTGAAGCCAGGTATTGGGGTGAATGCTGGAAGATCAGAGAAGCAGAACAAGTCACAGCTTCCTTGCCTCTCCAGTTCCTCAGATGATCCTGTTTCCTCAGACTGGAAGCCTCTGTGTCCTTACCCCTTACCCAATGGATCTCAGCTGAACTGCTTCTCAAAAGCCTGAAAGCTTAATTAGCTCTAGTTCCTGGTCCTCACACCTTATATACCTTTCTTCCATCACCTCCTGGGATTAAAGGCTCTTGTTACCATGCCTGGCTGTTTCCAATGTGGCCTTGAACTCACAGAGATCCAAGTGGAGCTCTGCCTCTGGAATGCTAGGATTAAAGGCACGTGTGTCACCATTTTCTGGCTTCTATATCTAGTGGCTGTTCTGTTCTCTGACCCCAGATAAGTTTATTATCTGGGTGCACAATATTTTGGGGGAACACAGTATCACCACAGATGATGACCTGGCTATGGCTGCTGCTGAGTCTAAGATGTGCCAATATAAAAAACCGACACTGAGCCCCATATCTGAGACCACTCCCTGGCTAATTTAATCTTCTCATGCCATTCAACCTAGAGGTTAAGAAAGGACTAAATGTATGCAGAGGGGGGACTGATCCAGATTACCCTGGGGGGGGGGCTTGGATTGCTTCTCCATAATAGAGGTAAGAATCAATATGTGTGTAGTGCAGGACATCATTTGGTTTGTCTCTTGGTGCCACCCTGTCCTGTCTTTAACATCAGTGGAAAAGTACAACAGCCTAATCCCAGCAGAACATCAATGACACAGACCTGTCAGGAATGAAGGTATGCGTCACTCCTCTAGAAAAAGAGTCAAGAACTATTGAGGTGATTTCCTAGAGTGAAGAAATTACAGAGTGGGTGGGAAAGGAAGGCAGTTATTAAACACTAGTTAAGCTGGGCTGTGGTGGCGCATGCCTTTAATCCCAGCACTAGGGAGGCAGAGGCAGGCAGATCTTTGTGAGTTCCTGGTCTACAGAGCAAGGTCCAGGAAAGGTGCAAAGCTGTACAGAAAAACCCTGTGTGGAAAA